CCAGATCCCAATCATACAATTGGCAACCACAGCCAAAAGCAGTATATGCTGTTGGTCAAAGAAAATTTAGCAGCCGGCGGCTGCTTAATTAAAAAAAAACATGGGCTGCTAAGGGGCTACTAAGGGGTATTTTTTATAGGGTTAATTACAAGTTTAGTCCTAAGTTTCAACTATAAATACCCTAGCTCATTTAGCTTCAAAATCATCCCAAAATCTTCTAGTTCTCTCTCAAGTGTGTTGTGTAAACACCTGTAAATTTTCTCTTAGTAAAAGATCTGCAGCAGTCCGGAGACGTAAGCACAAATTGGCTGAACTCCGTTATCAAATTTCGGGTATTATTTTTCCGCTTTTATTTTGCATTCTCACTAATCTGGTTATAGGGAAATTACTTGTACTTGGTTTATTTCCTAACAACTGGTATCAGAGCTTTTGGTTGTGAATTTTGTCAATTTTCTGCGAGGTTACTATTCATTACTATTCACGTGAATAGTGAATTTCGTGAATAGTGAAATTCGGTCGGCGATACGAGTTTGTCGACGGAGGTGTTCTAATACACGGCGGTTCGCAGAAATTATCAGAAACGATCCAAACGAAGCCAGATTCGAGTGAGAGCGATGGCTGCAGACGAAGGGAAGGTGAAAATTGAAAAGTTCGATGGTGCGGACTTTGGCTTTTGGAAGATGCAGATTGAAGATTTTCTGTACCAGAAAAATCTATATCAACCTCTTTCAGGAAAGCAACCAGAGGGCATGAAGAATGAAGACTGGGCTCTTCTCGACAGACAAGCCCTCGGAGTTATCCGACTGACGTTGTCCCGAAATGTTGCTTTCAACATAGCAAAGGAAAAGACCACGGCAGGTCTTATGGCAGCTCTCTCCAGTATGTATGAGAAGCCATCGGCCTCAAACAAAGTTCACTTGATGAGGCGATTATTCAATTTGCGGATGACGGAAGGGGCATCAGTGGCTCAACACCTGAATGAACTCAACACAATCACAACCCAGTTGAGTTATGTGGAAATTGAATTCGATGATGAAGTTCGAGCTTTAATTCTCTTATCATCTCTACCAGACAGTTGGAATGCTACTGTTACAGCAGTTAGCAGCTCGTCGGGAAATAGTAAATTGAAATTCGACGATGTTCGGGATCTGGTACTGAGCGAAGAAATTCGACGGAGAGAATCGGGTGAAGCATCAACCTCCTCAACCTTGCACACGGAGTCCAGAGGGAGAACTTCAGAAAGAAATTCAAATCGTGGCAGATCCAAATCCAGACGGGAAAAATCCAGAACGGGAAAGAAATATTTTACCTGTTATAATTGTGGCAAGAAAGGTCACTTTAAAAGAGATTGTCGAGCACTGAAGAAAGATACCGGTGCACAGGAATCTGCCAACGTGACAGAGGAGACAGGTGATGCCATGATTCTAAGCGTCAACAGTCCGATTAAATCATGGATCTTGGATTCAGGGGCATCTTTCCACTCCACCCCATGCCAAGAAATCATGGAGAACTATATCAGTGGTGATTTTGGGAAGGTTCATCTTGCTGATGATGAAACCTTGAAGATCGTCGGAAAAGGAGATATCCGACTAAAGCTGCCAAACCAGACCACCTGGAAGCTGACAGGAGTGAGACATATTCCTGGCCTCAAAAGAAATCTGATTTCTGTTGGACAGCTTGATGGAGAAGGATATAGTACAACCTTTTCAGGTTGTGAATGGAAGATTACCAAAGGAGCACTCGTCATTGCTCGTGGTAAGAAGACTGGTACTCTCTATGTAACCTCAAATTTAGAGAATATCATTGCAGTAGCAGATGCTGATGGAAAATCAAATCTATGGCACCAAAGGCTTGGCCATATGAGCGAGAAAGGAATGAAGATACTTTTGTCAAAAGGGAAGCTGTCGGATCTAAAGAATGTGGATGTCGGACTATGCGAGGATTGCATCTTTGGCAAACAAAAGAAAGTCAGTTTTGCAAAGATTGGCAAGGCACCCAAGGCAGAAAGGTTAGAATTGGTTCATACTGATGTATGGGGACCATCCCCAGTTCCATCTCTTGCAGGCTCACTATATTATGTCACCTTCATCGATGATTCAACAAGGAAGGTGTGGGTTTATTTTCTGAAGAAGAAATCAGAAGTCTTTGATACCTTCAGAAAATGGAAGGCCATGGTGGAAAATGAGACTGGTTTGAAAGTCAAGAGGTTGAGGTCTGACAATGGAGGAGAGTACAGAGACAGTAGATTCAGAGATTTCTGCGCAAACAATGGGATTAAGATGGAGAAAACAGTTCCCATAACACCGCAGCAGAATGGCGTAGCAGAGCGCATGAACAGAACTCTGAATGAACGTGCTAGAAGCATGAGGATACATGCCGGATTGCCCAAATTTCTATGGGCTGAAGCTATCAACACTGCAGCTTACCTGATCAACCGTGGGCCCTCTGTTCGTTTGGATGGCGGAATACCAGAGGAAGCTTGGAGCAAGAAAGAAATAAACCTTTCACACTTAAGAGTGTTTGGTTGTATTTCTTATGTACACATAGACTCTGCTGAAAGAAGTAAACTTGATGCTAAGTCCAACAAATGTGCCTTTGTTGGTTATGGCGGTGATGAGTTCGGTTACCGGTTTTGGGACTACGAAAATCGAAAGATCATCATAAGCAGAGACGTCATTTTCAATGAAAATGTGATGTACAAAGACAGGTCAACCGCAGAATCAAGTAATACCGAGGCTGAAACAAAGGAATTTGCTGAGTTCGAGGAGATTTCTGGAAATGATATTCAGATCAGTCCTGAAGCAGTTCAAGAGGAAGAACCAGGCACACCAGAACTGAGACGCTCCTCCAGAATTCCTAAACCAACCCAATGGTATTCGCCTTCTTTACACTACTTGTTGCTGACTGACAATGGTGAACCAGAGTGTTATGATGAAGCAATGCAAGTGGAGGATTCAGTCAAGTGGGAGTCTTCCATGAAAGATGAGATGGATTCGCTTATGTCAAATCAGACGTGGGAATTAGTTGAATTACCACCAGGCAAGAGAGCGCTCCATAACAAGTGGATTTACAGGATCAAAGAAGAGCACGATGGGAGCAAACGCTACAAAGCAAGATTGGTTGTCAAAGGCTTTCAGCAAAAAGAAGGTATTGATTACAATGAAATTTTCTCTCCAGTCGTAAAACTGTCTACAATCAGACTGGTGTTAAAAATTGTAGCTGCAGAGAATTTACATCTTGAGCAGTTAGATGTAAAGACAGCTTTCCTTCATGGTGATTTGGAGGAAGAAATCTATATGAGACAGCCAGAAGGCTTCATAGAGGCAGGTAAGAAAAACCTGGTATGCAGGTTGAAGAAGAGCTTGTATGGTTTAAAACAAGCTCCTAGACAGTGGTCCAAGAAGTTCGATAGTTTCATGGGTAGCAGTGGTTTTACCAGATGCCAAGCAGATCATTGTTGCTACATCAAGAGGTTCGACAACAGCTTCATTATTTTATTATTGTACGTTGATGACATGCTCGTTGCAGGCTCAGACATGCAAGAGATTATACACTTGAAGCAAAAATTGTCGAAGCATTTTGCTATGAAGGATCTGGGCGTTGCAAAGCAGATTCTTGGGATGAGGATCAAGAGAGACACAAAGTCGGGGACTTTGATGTTATCACAGGCTGAGTACATCAACAAAGTACTCTCCAGGTTCAACATGCAAGATGCTAAACCAGTAAGTACACCTTTAGGTGTTCATTTCAGACTCTCCAAATAACAGTCACCAAAGACGGAGGAAGAACGTGCACACATGGTGAAGGTGCTGTATGCCTCAGCAATTGGAAGTCTGATGTATGCCATGGTTTGTACCAGACCAGATATTGCTCAAGCAGTGGGAGCTGTTAGCAGGTACATGAATAATCCAGGCAAAATACACTGGGAAGCAGTCAAATGGATCCTCAGATATCTGCGAGGTACCACAAACAAAGCACTTTGTTTCAAAGGTGGAGATACGATATTGACAGGCTATGTAGATGCTGACTTAGCCGGAAATGTTGACATCAGAAGAAGCACTACAGGGTATGTCTATACTCTAGGAGGAACCGCAGTGAGTTGGGTTTCTCAACTACAGAAGATAGTTGCTCTCTCCACAACCGAAGCAGAATATGTCGCTGTTACGGAAGCCAGCAAAGAGATGGTCTGGCTCCAAAGTTTCTTGGAAGAGTTAGGCAAGAAACAAGAAAACAATGTCTTGTATTGCGACAGTCAAAGTGCTATCCATCTAGCGAAGAATCCGTCTTTTCATTCCAGGACGAAGCACATACAACTGCGATATCATTTTATCCGGTCTCTTCTGGAAGATAGGATTTTGAAACTTGAAAAGATCAGTGGAGCTAAAAATCCGGCAGATATGTTAACAAAGACGGTGACCACAGAAAAACTGAAGTTGTGTTCAGCTTCAGTTGGCATGCTAGAATAAAAGACCAGAAATGATGCTGCATTGATCGAGGTGTGAAGACAGATTGAAATCAGTCTTCAAGTGGGAGATTGTTGGTCAAAGAAAATTTAGCAGCCGGCGGCTGCTTAATTAAAAAAAAAACATGGGCTGCTAAGGGGCTGCTAAGGGGTATTTTTTTATAGGGTTAATTACAAGTTTAGTCCTAAGTTTCAACTATAAATACCATAGCTCATTTAGCTTCAAAATCATCCCAAAATCTTCTAGTTCTCTCTCAAGTGTGTTGTGTAAACACCTGTAAATTTTCTCTTAGTAAAAGATCTGCAGCAGTCCGGAGACGTAAGCACAAATTGGCTGAACTCCGTTATCAAATTTCGGGTATTATTTTTCCGCTTTTATTTCGCATTCTCACTAATCTGGTTATAGGGAAATTACTTGTACTTGGTTTATTTCCTGACATATGCATGTATCTAAATATGCACCATACGTATAAATTTGTAGGAATGCATGTATGTATATACTTTTGTAAGTATGTATGTATGCATGTGTGTATAACAATTTTATTAGTTCTATTTATTTATAAATTATTGAAGTATACATTCAGAACATAGATAAAACAAAAACTACTCATGTATGTTTGGCAGGCATACATTATTTTTCATGTTATTAGTATTAAAGTGTGTAGTTCTATTTCTAGTACCATCGTGGCTCAGGATAATCCTTTCAGGTGGCAGGGTATGACTGGATGATCAGCTTGAATGATTCTCAATCAACTCGATCCCATCGGCTTCATTCAGTCCATCTACATTCTGCTTTATACAATGTATATCCTTGCCACTGATTTCTTTCAGGTTTGCATACCATGCTTTCTTCCTTGCTATTTCTGTTCTTATTTCTTCTGGTGCTTCATTACGCATCCCAGTGAAACTTTGTACCATCTCCCTGAAACTAGAAGCGGTGGCAGATAACTTGAACACGGTTGTTTTTGCAGGGTTCCTGAGATCATGACAGAAAAATAAGAGCAAACAACACCCAATTTTAAGACCATTCTTTGTGAATCTTAGATGCAACTTTATAATATTGTTAGAATGTGCTCCAAGTTTCAACTAACCTTTTTTTGGCCTTCTGAACATTTACACCAAGGGTTACTTTACATCTATCAGATAGCTCATAAAAATTTTTAATCATTGTACTTTGAAGTTTTTCTTCATCCGCTACTGATATAAAAAGAACCGAACCATCATCATCCATTTTCCCACCTTCATACGTGACAAAGGACTTATCAGGGATTTTGATGGTAAGATGATTGAAAGCCCGAAGTATGCGAGAAAATGCAGATAGTGACGAAGTTTTAGTAGGCTGTGACTTGGGATGGTTATGGGAAGCTCTATGGATAACCTCTGTTGTCTGCCAATCTAGTGACCTCTCAACTGACTTCTTAGCTGGGCCACCAGGGTCCTGTTTGCAGCAACATGGTTGAGATTGTAAATTACCCTTGCTTTGATTTTGTTCGGCAAGTTCTTCAAAACTCTGTGCTTGTAATCGCACCTGAAACTCGAATAAATCCAATCAATCGACGACGAAGGCCAACCAGGATACGAGGATAAACGAGATTGACTATCTACAATTAAAGATATATTACATACAGGAGGAAGCGCGGTTGCAGAAAGTTGAGATATCATTGATGAAGGAGCAGAGGAGGAAGGTGGCGGCGGATGACAGACCCGGGCAGAATTATCGTCTTGCTCACTGATAGCTTTCTGGTCATTGTCTGGATTGCTTTTCTGATTCAATGACGGCAACACACAATCTCCTGTTGCTGTAGATGGCCAAACCTACAAATGTGACAAAAAATAAAAAAAAGACGAGTCATGCAGATAACGTAAGCTACACATAGTAAAATTCAATAAGACAAACAAATATCAAATATTTCCGTTTTTAAAAAACAGATTGAAGTTGGTAAGAGGTTGTGTATAGATCAGATAAGCGTTGTGTTGAAATGATCTCACCATGATTTGTGAATGATCGGGATACTGGTCCACCACATGATCTCCTGTATAAAGTTTCATGTAAAAAGTTACTAAAAGGCCCCACCACAAGAAAGCTCAAGTTTAATATCATGCAAGTTCCTTTAGAAAGGGAATTACCTTGTATGAGATTGCCAATTTCATTGGAAATTCCTTCTATCTCTTCCAAGGAAGACCAATTTACATATGCTTGTCTCACCAAATCTTTAAGATATGCCTGCAATTGCAAATGCCAGGTTCACAATTCAAGGAAATATTAGACTGATAGACATTTACGACCCAAAATACATAAATAACTTATTTAGCTTTTTATGACACATACTCTGTCAACATCACTTTGTTTGTGAGTAGGATATATACTGCCATTAATCTCTGCCTTGATTAGTTGGCAAATGGGGTTTAACATGATTCTGTAATCCGAGCCTTGAAAAACATAATGTTTGTTTCCCATAACACAAGTTTTGGCGTGCTTGATTGTGACATTCCACATTTTCTCAGACATTCGAACGCCAAATATCTGTTCAACATGATTTACAAGCAAGTTATTTATGATTATATTTAAGAAAAGCAAACACTAAATTGGCCTGTATGTTATTCCAAGTTAGTCAAGTGGTTGCAAATTCTTACCCTTCTAAGCTTGCCAGGATGGACGATCAACATTTTCAAGAAGTCTTGCACTGTGTTAACGCCCATAGAGGCTAGATTTTTATGGAACAATCCATCCTTACCAATCTTTTCCAGACGCCAAACTTCATCACCCAGCATTGGTGGGTAATGTTTCTCATAAGCTTCAATACCAAATCAGTTTGTATAAGATCTTCCAAGAAATTCATTAATACTGATCAAAGAACAAAATTGTTGGACATTCTAAAGCTTCATCATATTGTTGAATGGAAAAGTTTGCCTGACTTAATGACAAAAAAAGGGCTTACATTGGTTTTGTTTGGCAAGTTGTTCAAAACTCTGTGTTTGTAATCGCATCTGCAATTTGAATAAATCCCATCAAATGTTAATAAATGCAAACCAGGCTAAGAGGATAAACGAGATCGATTACATACAAATTAAAGATATATATATACATATATATATATACATACAGTTGGAAGCGTTGTTGCAGGAAGTTGAGGTATCATTGACCAAGAATTAGAGGGGCTAGGTTGGGGCATGGGACAGACTAATGTGGAGTTATTGTCTTCCTGACTGATAGTTTGCTGGTCATCGCCTGCATTGTTTTTCTGATCCAAAGACTGCACTGCACAATCTCCTGTAGTAGGAGATGGGGAAACCTGTACAACCCCCCCCCCCAAACAAAAGAAAAAAAACAAGACTTGTCATGCCAATAATCTAAGCTACACATAATAAAAATCGATAAGATGAACAAAAATTAAATGATTTGGTTTTAAAAACAGGTTAATGTCGACAGGAGGCTTTAAAATGGATAATGCAACTAATGCTTCTTGATCAGGCTGGACCAGTAACTGAAATGCTACACAAACAAGGGAGATTCAAAACATTTTTCTGAATGTGAGTTTGTTAAAAACTGAGTTCAAAAAAATTACTAATGAAAATGAAATATCACACGAACATGATAGGTGATCAACACATTGTACTCGTCTCGAAAGCTTACTTTGTCAACTCGTTCAAACCAAAAATAACTTACAGGTTAATATGTACTTACATTGGAGTTGTCCATCAGAACAGGGTGATCTTGAAGCTTAGCTGGTCTCATTAACCCAGGACCAAGAGGAGTCACGGCAGGCAAAGTAGATGGAATTATATTTATAGCATTTTCCCTCGTCCTTTCCGCTGTGACATCTGACAATGAAAAGGGATGACCCATTTTAGGACGACAAATAAGGGTGCAAAAGTAACCATTATGTGGTAAAGAACTTCAAGTATATTTGCATCTTCTGCAAATTCATGTATGCACAAGTAATTTTCATCATCATTAACAGTTAACAAGCATATCTTTTCTAGAGAATTCACTTAACATATGTATATGTTACGGATTAACTCTGAAGCCAATGTTGTTATTAATCTGGGCTCCTTTTAATCACACCACTAATTTCCTAACAACATTAATTTCAGTCTCACGCGGCTAATCTCACCATTTTGTCGAACGTGGCTTTAAGGATTCATTTCTCCATTAAACATAAAACATTAAGTTTTTGTATGAATGTATGACTTAATGGGAATAGATAATTTGTATTACCCGAAAGGATAAAAAGTATACAATATTAGCTAGACAAGAAATGGTTACTGGCCAAAAAATAAAAAACAACCAAAAAATCAGAATTCTGGTTAAATAAAACAATAACCTGAATATGGATTAAACAAAGAAATGCTATAATTCATCTTCTCAAAGGCTCAAACTGAACAACATTACCTGATTTTTGGGATTCGTCGCGTACTAAAGCTTCGGGAATAACTGCATATTCTCCAAATCAGCAATGCATCAATAGGAGCATATTGGTTTCCCAAATGAACAGAAAAATAAAGATGAATAAATCTAGTAAGTGTCAATACCGTACATGGATTGGACCATCAAGCTGTTAGACAAATCAGGTGCATGCAAGACTTTTATCATGATATGACATGGGAGAATTTATATTACAAGAAATATTCATTACTCAGAGATATCTCCGTTTCTTAATCTGTAGTTAGGAGTTAGCTGACAGCAAAAATTTGTAAACATTAAGGTTGAGGATAAATAATTACCTGGATGTCCTTCTTGATCTAGTATTGAAGCTTCAAATACATCTTCATATCCTGCGAATGTAAATGAACCAGGCTTTAATAAAAAATCTTCTCAAACAATCTTTTATCTTTTAGTCATTTCCTAACTGCTATTAAATGTAATGTATTTGAAATATAATTTCTAGTGCAAGCTGAGAAGACAAATAGAACGGTTGAGTGCATATTTCCACCACTAAAGTTTCTATGATAAAATTACTGATATGATTCATTTTATTCTCTTTCTTTTCCATATTTATATTCAATTTCTCACTAAGCATTTATAAATACACTCTAAAGAAATCATGTATTAGATTGCAAAAATTGTTGTAAACTTCACACCTCTATTTTTTTGTGTCGCAAGTATTAAACATCGGAATAGAAAGGATAAAATCATTCCTATGAATGTAAAATTCAGGGTTCAATGAACATCATTACTCTCCAATATGTATAAAACTGACAATATGACGATCAAGGAAGGTTACTGTCTGTCCACCTCTTGCAGGGCTAACAGTCTTGGATGCCTCAGCAGCATCTTCGACATTATTGGCCCTATGATCATTGCAAGGTTGAGACTGCAGCTTATGAAACCCCCTGACATCCCTCTGTAGATGGTTATGTATCCCTCGGTAGGTGGTGATAAAAAAGCTTGTATCTTGGGAGTCTCGCTCAACACGCTTCTTCACTGGACAACCCGTTGACAAGCATTTGTAGTATGACCTATACAAAGCGCAAAAAGACATGGAGAAAGGTATAATAAAATCAACAAAACTGCTTAGCAACTTCCTGAAGATTAATAGGTTAGGTGAAGTAATCACCTTGGAAAGGAATTACCCTTGACCAATTTCTTTCCATATTTCCTCCATATATAACCATCATCAAATACCTTACTTCTGATTTGGTTTTCAGCTCTATTCCCTCTCATGAGTTCGCTTGCAGAACTTATGATATTGGTTTTTTCAGTCCCAGAACAGTTCCTGAAAAATGTAAAACCACTGCCTTAATATTGTCTCTTTCATACAACCTTTCCTTTTGCAATCCACTAGTTTAATTTCATCCTTGGTGAATAAACTGAAAGAAATTTGAAGGCATTTTATATCGAAAGGAATGGAGTCGGTAAACACACCAAAGCAACCGTTCTGGTTTAAGGAAGTAAAGGCCACTACTGTTAGATAAAAACGCTTATATAGTACCAAGTAGCAATAGAGAACAAAATTCCTACTTCAAAATTACATTAAGTGTAATGCTGAACTGACCATCTTTTGGCCTTTGGTTCATCTTCATCAGCGTCTGCTTCAAAAACTTTTGAAGCCGCATCACAATAATCATCTGCGGGACTCTTGTTCCTCTCTGATGTATAGATTCCTCCTTGTTCAGGTGCCTGAATTTGAACAATTTCAGAGAAATGGTAATAGAAAATCAAGGCTGACAATAAGATTTGACCCAAATTAAATACATTTTGACTTATCATGCTCTTCAATACAAGGATTGTTTAAAAACTCGGTTAAATCCTTTACCATCATAAAATGTTGATTAGAGTTAAATTTTTAACATTGTTAAGGAACGGCCTTAACTTTATGTGGCTGATTAGGTGATGATATCCCATGTCATCTTGAGAAAATTTACCCAACAATACATATCAAATGGAAATCTATAGAGCCTAAGTTTTTTTAATTTCATGGTTTAAAGAGATCAGTTACTTCCAATCGAAATACAGACATTCATGACAGTGAAACCCTGGATAAAACAACAAAAATACTATATATGTTGTTTTTGGTTGCTTGTGAATTAATATATACTTACATGGGAAGTCCTTGATAATAGATTGGATGGAAGTACACATGCTGAAGGAGACTCTGCCACATATGTTCCCGTTAATCTAACGGTTATTAACAACAATTGCCTAAAGGAGTTAAAGAAACTAAAAATCAAAGAGATGATTCATAGGAGTCGCGAAGAAAAATTACCCAAGCACTGACTTTTATGATCTTGTGGTGAAACTTCAATCAACTTTTCATCACCTACCAATGTTCAAATGAACAATGTTAAAATCATCACTTCTCATCAATCATTAACAGGCCTTTTCTAATGAGGGTGAAATTTCTCATACTAATTCGGCCATAATATATATACATGGGGAGATCCTAGTGCATTTTCTTATAATACCTAGGAAGCTGTTAGGCACAAGCATGAGAAAGTTATTGACAATTTAACATAGAGTATGTTTAATAACATATTTGCAAGGAATACAATAATTGTACAGTTATAGATGCTCAGATAGACTGCCAACTAAAAGAAGATTTTATTGGAGCACACCACCTGCTCACGTGCATACTCGTCTATGTTGAGGAATCCAGTGATAACATGTTTTTGCTTGTGATTTCACACAGAAAGTTAGGAATTCAAGTTTTTCTTTGGTTTACAGAGAGAACGAAGTGACTGTGTTTGTACCATAGAATTTGCTGGGGCAAGGAAAAAACTGGAAGTTAAGGCTTTGATCTCAGTTATTGTGCCAGTTGCTTGGAGTGACTACATTTGTATGATAAAGGACGTTTTCAGAGCTTAGTCTATTCCGAGTATCTTTGTTTTCTACTTTTGCAGTTTGTACCTTTTGTAGCCAGGCATGCCAGCTTTTCTTGTGATGATAAAAAACTACACAACTGACCCAGTAAAGGGTTCAAGTACTCAATAAATAGATCTCACACATATATGTTAATAAATTACATGATGAATGAAAAGGGGGGAAAGACGAAAAGATATATTACGTAGTTGTTGGCCTTCATTGTGTATGGTTGCTTTAAGTAGATGTACATCTTCTACCAATTGTGTCATCACATCTTTCTCATTATCGATAGGGCAAAAGATATGCATCAGATAATCTGGTTGATTTCCCCACTCCGTTGCACTCCAATTCATATCCTCCCACCATTGACATTCTCCTTTGATTATCTTCAAATTTTTGCTTGACAATTCCATTTTTGATATACTTGTAAGCTTCGGGCAATTGTAACAGCCTATGCTTTCTAACTTTGGTGCTATCAATAGGCCATTCGAAATGCTGACCAGTTCAGGAAGGTAAAGAAGAAGCAATCTTTTCAAACTTGGAAGAAATATTTTATCCGACATCATTGGCTTGACGGATGAATGACTTACAAGGCTTGTGACTAGGGGACAGTCCTCAAGAATTATCTCCTCCAAGTTGACAAAATTTTCAAGCAAAGTATAACAGAAAATTTTTGTCAGCTGGGGGCATGTGTGCAATGCTAGGAATTTCAACTTGGACATTCCAAAACGATTTGGTCCTCTCCAAATACTCCGTAAATTCTCCATGTAATAAATGCTCAAATGCTCTAGGAACTCAAGCACACATTCTACAGAACCAGAGTCAGATTCAGATTGATCATCTTCATTTCTTTCATAATGCATATCTCCATCAATAAGTGTTTCCATTTCATTACATTCTGCCAGCAAGCAAAATTTTAGCCCCTTCATATTCTCGATTCCAAATTCAGATAGTGTCACAGCGGTTGCATGGTGGTCCAAGAAAAATGAAGTGGAATATTTCAGTACCCCTTTTATTTCAACCGGGATGTTTTTGCCATTCACAAACTTCAAGCATTTGTCCCAACTTCTGAATTCTGCTTCAAGTTCATGAGGTACACGAGATATGATTCTCCTTTTATGATTACCAACAGTAAACCTAAAGCATGACAAGGAAGGATATGTCAATGATGCATTATCTAAAAGCTGGAATTCCGGAAGGTACAAGCTAAGAATTTTCAATGCTTTTGAGTTGCATACTTCCTTCACAACAGCCTCCACAGAATCATCCCACCTCTTGTCTGCAGGATTGACATCAATGCTTAACTCAGCAAGTTGTGAGAGATTTGATATCGTCTCAGGGTGAATCAAAATGTTTGACATCGGCTTCTTTTTTCCAGATAAATGATAGAATGATACTTTCAACTTTCTTAACTTGAGTAGTTTTCCAGTCTCTCTAGGTAAATTGATGATCTGAGTATCATCAAGATCAATCTCCTCAAGATTTTTGAGTTTCCCAACTTGAGGTGATAGTTCCATGAAGAGATCACAACTTTGTAACAAGAGTTTTTTTAGTGCAACCAACTTGGGGAGAGATTTTGGCAAAGATTTGATGCTAGTACGAGACAAATCCAATACTTGGAGAAGGGCCATGCGCTGAAAGAATAGGGGAGGAATAGCCGTCAGCTCATAATTCCCTTGCAAATACAACGCAATCAGTGAAGAGCAGTTTGGACATTTTGGCAACTCAGACACATTATTTTTATCATCCGTTAAATGTATCTCTTTTGCTGCCCCTACTTCCTTTCGTAGCTCAGTCAAGCTTGACCCACTTTCCTTAGGAACAGAATGGTGCATTTCGGCCGAAATGCGAAGCATGATTCTACAAAAGTTTACTGGGTGATTCAGAAGAATCCTGCCTCACAAAATACTTTGTTTGTAAAGCATCAATTACCATCTGAATAAAAGAAAATAATATCCTTCATTATGCATATTGAAAAAAATAATCAATGAGGAATTGAGAATTAAGACATAATCTCTGGGGTTATTCATCAAATACTTCCTGGGAAGACAATAAAAGACCTTTGATAATTTGTTCTGTGCTAAAAAAAAAAAAGAGGTTTTGGAACTTTTGTATTGCTTATCGGCTACTTTTCAGGTGTCTGCTAAAAGCAAGTGATCATCCTCCCTCATCCGCTACTTCAGGCGGAAAGAAAGACAAAGCTTTGCCTGTGGAAGTGTTGCCATCTCCCCCTTTTTTTATTATTAGTATTTCTTTCTCCTTTAGCTTAATTTTGATATTCAATTGATTAACATGATTTTGGATTTCATATGCAACTATTTATGTTTAACAAATGCAAAAACAACATAATAAATACGATACAATAGTATTTAATTCTATTTGCCGAAGAATATTTGAAATTATTTATTTATGAGAATAATTAAAAATAAAAGAAAATAAACCCATGAAATAAGATTATGATGATTCAACATTCAAAACAGATAGTAAACTTGGGCAACGATAAAGATTAATCCATTCAAACCTATCACAAACATAGAAATCAAACACATAGCTTAGCAAGTCACGTATAATAAATGGATGAGAAAAGAGAGAAGAAAAAAATAGGTAAACTGACCTGCAAATTTGTTTGATTAAAGGAAGAAGAACCTCGTGACCATGAGTAGTTGAAGTTAGTGGGTTCGGTATTTTGTTGACTAGAAAAGATAAAACTTGCAACCATACAATTTTGATAAAACTTCAATCATATATGATCTCTCGCAATTACTACGAAATCACCACTCCAATATATTACAAAATGTCTACGTCTTCCTTTATTATTTACTTATTAAGTTGACTTGAATACCAGTCCCACAGCAGAGCCATGTTCTCCTGCACCGCGGGTTGAGAGTGGCAGTGCTCCCTTTCGTAAGTTACGGTCGACATAGACGACTCATTCGTGGCTCGCTTCTCATGTTTCCTCATGGAGACCCTTCAGCAGGAGCCATGTTCTTCTGCACCGTGGGTTGAGGGTGGTGGCGCTAGTTATGATCGACATAGATGACTCATCCATGGCTCACTCCTCGTGTTTCCTCACGGGGCACCATTCAGCAGGAGGCATGTTCTTCTACATTGTGAGTTGAGAGTGCTTGTGCTCCCCTATGTAATTTAAGATTAACATAGATGGTATTGAAGTCAAGAAGTTCGTTGCTCAAGTTGAAGCAAGTGTTGAAGAAGTTAATAAAGCAGGGTGAATGTTAGTGTTATCAACACGTGCTTATGCTTGAGTTCTAGAATAGTTTATTAAGATTGTTGTTACAAACGGTTAAGTTGTTGAGAGCTGTTAATACTTTATTCTACAACAGTTACTTCTCTTCTTGCTTGTATAAATAACTGCTCTCTAACTCAAGAGAGATCAGCTTCTTGTTAATAAAGAATTACAAAGATTTCAGTTCATTTATTGTTTTCTTAGATAGCTCAACTGCTATCTTATCATGGTATCTTTTTGCTAATATCTGGGTGTGCTTCTTCCTCTGTTTCTTCCTCATTTCAGTAGCTGCACGAGTTTAAGTTCTTATCGTCTGTGATTCTTGGCGTCATGGTAGACTTGACGGTTGATCCCCAGGATGTGTATGTGAATGCTTCTTCCCTGAGTCCGGGAACTTCTCGAGGTATGTTTGGCATTCAACACATACCAAAGCATGATACTGTGAAACTCACTGAATCCACCTATCTTTTTTAGAAGCATCAAGTGGCTTTGATAATTGACGGCTATGGGTTACTGAGGTTCATCTTGGTCGGTTCTGTTGCACCAGATGAGTTCATTACTAATGCATATGGCCAGCTTGAAGATAATCCAGTATTTGCAGTTCATCACCAGCAAGATAAACTGCTTGCTTCCTGGCTGTTAACTATTTGTGAGTACAGAGGTTCTGCCTCACTTGACTGGACTTACAACATCGATGTCAATCTAGAATACTATATCTCGTTTATTTGGTGCTCGCTCCAGCGCCAAGATTTCTTCTCTCCGGTATAATCTTCATTCCCAACGAAAAACTGGTTTGACGATTAGGGAATATCTTGCTAAGGTCAAGTCTATTTGTGATCTGCTGAATGCTTCTGGTAGTGTGGTTACTGAGCAAGAACATGTTAATGTTGTGTTAGCTGGCCTTACAATGGAGTTTGAATCCATTATTGCAATTGAGGCACGGGAAAACTTTTCTCTTGATGTTCTTACTGAAATGTTGTTAGACTGCGAGGCTCGACAGAAGGTGTTCTTGAGTGAAGGCATTTCTGCAAATCTTGTTCTTCACTCTCGGGAATGTGATGTTGCTGAAATTGATTCTTGTGGAACTCAGGATGCTAATACTGGGTCATCACAGGGTCATTTATCTCGTGGTTAGTCGAACTCCTATTGTGGTAGAGGTCGAGGGCGTAATAATAATCGTCCTCAATGCCAGTTGTGTGGCCGGTTTAGACATGTGGTCCAAAAAGTGTTATCATCGTTTTGATATAGACTACACTGGCGTGTCTGGGTCTGAATCGTTGATTGAGAATGGCTCGAAGTCCACTGGTGCTGGGAACTCTGTTAAACACGTGCAATCTGGTGGACAACCCTATGCTCACACCATAACCTCCATGCCCTCTCGTTCAAACTTTATTCCCACTCCAGTTTACTTTCCCTCCCCATATGCTCCTGGATATTACTCATTTTTGGTTTCTCTCCTGGATTTGCTTCTAATGCCTCTTATGGTCCTCATGGTACATCTCCATCCATTTTGACACCCAGTTCGGTAGCATATGTGTTCACTATTCCAACTAACTCCGGGTCCAGTTCTTCAGCATCGACAGACTCCTTGTGGTATTCTGATACTGGTGCTACACATCATGTAACAAATGATGATATGTTTGTGTTCCAATTAGGTACTCTTTATACGGGTTGTAATTCCTTGCTCATGGGTAATGGTGATGGTATTCCAATTACACATGTTGGTCAAGGTGTTTTGAGCTCAAATAGAAAGCCTTTAATTTTACAAATTATGTTGCACGTACCTAACATAAAGAAAAAGCTGTTATCTGTCTCTCAGTTCACACGTGACAATGGTGTCTTCATGGAATTTCACCCTTCTGAATGTCTTGTGAAGGATGCTCGGACTCAAGTGGTTCTGCTTCGCGAGAGGCTCACGGATGATGGTCTCTATCAGTTGTTGCCTTGTAAGAATCAAGGTTCATCTGACATGGTGAATAATGTTTCAAAATCTATCACTTCTTTGAACTTGTGGCATTAGCGTCTTGGCCACCCTTCGCTTGATACAGTTCGACTTATTATGAAGTCATGTAATCTTGTTTCAAATAAAAATGATGAGCTGATTGTATGTTCTGCTTGTATACAAGGGAAACCACATAAGTTTCCCTTTTGTAAATCTTTGACTGAATATAATGAGCCTTTTTAATTTGTTGTCTCTAACGTTTGGGGACCAGCTCCCACTGAGGGATTTCTTTATTGTCTCCTTTATTGATGTTTGTAGTCGTTATACCTGGGTGTATCTCTTGAAACGTAAATCTGAGGTGGCTCAGTGCTTTCTTGATTTTGCAGAAATTGTTGAAGTACAGTTTGGATATAAAATTAAAGCACTTCAGACTGATGGTGGTGGAGAGTATCAACCACTTCGAAAATGGTTCTGTACAAATGGAGTACAACATCCTCTCTCGTGCACTGGTACCTCGGAGCAGAATGGTAAGGCTGAGAGGAAGCATAGGCACATTATTGAAACATGATTGACAATGTTAGCTCAGACTTCTTTACCTCAGAAATTTTGGAGCTATGCTTTTGTTTCTGCTGTTTATCTTATCAATCGATTATCCACACCTGTTTTAAATGGTAAGTCTCCTTTTGAAGCTCTGTATCGTGTCTTGCCAAATTATTCCTTTATCAGGGTGTTTGGTTGTGCTTGCTATCCTTGCTTGCGTTTGTTTAATCATCATAACCTGGATTTCAGGTCAAAGAAGTGTGTGTTTCTAGAATATAGCACTACTCATAAAGGATATAAATATCTCGATGACTCTGGCAGAGTAATAATTTCGAGGCACGTTGTATTTGATGAAAGTGCTTTTCCTTATGAAGTATGTAATGTTTCAGGTGTTACTCCAGATAATGGTGTCTCCACAGGCATCATTCCTCTTGTCTCGCCTGTACAGACAACGCATACTCCACCTGTGCATGCTACATCACCACGTGCTTTATCAACTAATGCTTCATTTTCCACAACTAATATACCTGTTGTCTCTCCTGTATAGACAATGCATGGTTCGTCAACGTGTGCTCCACCAATCCCTGCTCCATCAACGTGTGCTCCACCATTGCATAATCCATCAACACGTGCTCTAACCATGCATGCTCTAACAATGCGTGCAACGCCTGCTCCATTGAGTGAAAGCAGCCCATGTGCTGCTGGTCCCGCACCTTTTCCTCGAAGTTCAACGCCTGTTCCATTGAGTGAAAGCAACCCACCTGCTGCTGGTCCCACGCCATCTCATGTCATTGGCGCACGTTGATGATGCTCATAGGACCGAACCAGCTCATGTGCATATGGGAGCTGCTTCAACACATGTGAATAATCAAAGAGTTGGGACCACACCATTAATTGGAAACAGCCCACGTGAAGGTCCCATGCATTCTTGTATTTTTGTGGAGCCTATAACAAATGTCACGCCTGCTCCATTAAGTGGAAACAGCCCATATGAAGGTCTCATGCACTCTCCATCAACGTGTGATGCTCCATTGAATTCAATGCATGCTCAATTTAATTCAACGCATGGTCCATTGAATTCAACGCATGATCCTTTTCATACAACCAGCCCACGTGATTCTCTAGTTCACGAGAATGATGGACAAATTTTTTGCCTACACGTGATTTTCTAGCTCCCGAGACTGATGGACAAATCTTGCATGCACGTGTACCCGAGACTATTGTTTTCCCTCTATATCGGGTTATTCATAACATGCATTCCATGGTTATCAGGGCCAAAGATGGCATTCAAAACCTCGTGTTCTGCATGTAGAATACTTGATGAAGAGCCTCGGTCCATTAAAGAAGCTATGAAGATTCCTCATTGGAAGAAAGCTGCACAAGAAGAGTTTGATGCTTTGATTGCAAATAACACGAGATCTCTGGTCTCTCTTCCTAAAGATCGTGTACCTGTCCACTGCAAATGGAATTTTTAAGGTGAAACGTAATACTGATGGCTCAGTGTCTCGCTAAAAGGCTCGTCTTGTTGCAAAAGGTTTCTTCAACGACCAGTGATTGATTTTCATGAGGTTTTTAGTCCAGTTGTGAAACCTGTAACAGTACGAGTGATTCTTACTCTTGCATTGACAAAAGGTTGGTTGCTACGTCAAGTAAATATTAATAATGCCTTTTTAAATGGGGCATTGATGGAAGAGGCTTACATGAATCAACCTCCTGGGTTTGTGCAATATGGTGATGGTTTAGTTTGCAAGCTGCATAAAGCAATTTATGGCTTGAAGCAAACTCCTCGGGCATGGTTTGAGAGCCTTCGAGAATATCTTGTTTCTGAGCAGTTTGTGTTGTCTAAATCCGATTCAGCTATGTTTGTTCGAAAATCTTCTAGCAGTGTTCTTTACATGCTAGTATATGTTGATGACATCATTGTGATAGGAAGTGAGGCTGGTGAGGTGCAATGTGTTATTGAAAAGTTGCATGCTCGATTTTCTTTAAAAGATCTTGGCTCTCTTAGTTTTTTTCTTGGCATTGAGGTGTGTTCTGATGAAAATGGTCTTGTTTTGACTCAACAAAAATATATTCGTGAGTTATTGCATAAGCATGGCTTTGATGATGTCAAGAGCCTTTTTACTCTCATGGTCTCCAATTGTAAGTTGTCAGTCGATGCTGGTGATCCCATTGAAGATGCAGCCCAATATAGAAGTATTGTAGGAGCTCTCCAGTACATAGTAGTCACTCGACCAGATATTGCCTTTGCAGTAAACAAAGTCTGTCAGTTCATGCAGTCACCTCGCAATAGACATTTTCAAGCTGTTAAGAGGATTCTACGTTATCTTCAAGGAACGGCTGATTATGGTCTTCGGTTTACAACGTCTTTTCGCATGTCTCTGACTGGCTTTGCTGACGCAGACTGGGGATCTGATCCTGATTATAGGCTTTCCACGACTGGCTACTGCATTTTCTTTGGTGGAAATCTCATTTCCTGGAGCTCACGCAAGCAGCAAGTTGCTTCTCGTTCCACGGCTGAAGCTGAATATAGGAGTGTTGCTTCTGCAGCTGCTGACATTGTTTGGATTGAGTCATTGCTTCAGGAATTGTATGTGGGTCCACATGGTAAAGCTACATTGTGGTGTGATAATTCCAACACTGTTACGGTTTGTGCTAATCCTGTTCAGCATTCTAAGTTCAAGCATGTTGAGCTTGACTTATTTTTTGTTCGAGAAATGGTTGTTGATGGTCGTTTACAGGTTAATGAGGTTCCTGCTTATAAGCAGGTGGCGGATGTCTTGACAAAGCCACTCTCTTTTTCTTCGTTTTTCAAGAACATACATAAACTCTTGGTAACACATCTAAGAGGTCTTCCTGCGGGTTTGTAAAGTGGGAATGGAAAAGGGAATATTGAAGTCAAGAAGTTCGCTGCTCAAGTTGAAGCAAGTGCTGAAAAGTTAATAAAACAGGGTGAATGTTAATGTTATCAACACGTGCTTATGCATGAGTTCTAGAATAGTTTGTTAAGATTGTTATTACAAACAGTTAAGTTGTTGAGAGCTGTTAATACTTTGTTATACAACAGTTACTTCTCTCCTTGCTTGTATAAATAGCTGTTCTCTAACTCAAGAGAGATTAGCTTCTTGTTAATAAAGAATTACAAAGATTTCAGTTCATTTATTGTTTTCTTAGATAGCTCAACTGCTATCTTATCAGATGGATCATCCATGTCTCGCTCCACTTGTTTGTGGCAGGGCACCCACTGATGATACTGCACTTGTAATATCCCCTATACAAAAATGTCAACAGAAACTCAAATCACCACTTATCCTAGAAATCTATGATGCGTCACCTGGTTCGATGATTTAGTGATAAGAGGCTGAAAAGATTATCAGGACTACGGTAGTTACCGTGGGTATGGTGAGCCCTTGATCGGCTTTTGCCCTAACTTCCTCCAACAAAACTCATCTGGCGGAACATCGGCGAGCCTTGCACTGATTGCTGGAACTCTGATCACCTTTTCACTCTGTTTCCTAAAATATGAAATAAAAAGCTCAAATTCGGTTTTGCTGATTCTTACGGAACTCTACTCGACTTATCCTGCTTTTATGACTTTCATAGTGAACCTAAATTATTTAAAATTCGAAAATAAGCTGACTGCTAAATACGCCATAGAGATTTTAAAAGATCAGGGAAATGGTGGCATTACCTCTTCTTGAACGTAAGTGAGGATAGTACTCCTTTTCCAGCTGAAACAGGAGGCGCTGGCTTCAAGAATAGAGAAGAATCTTGCATAGAGTTTGAACCGATACTCTCCTCAGGTTTGACATATGACATAAACGAAGAGTTCGACGACATGCTGAAGCTTTCCTCTGCAAACTCCAACTCGGTATTTCTAGAGTTGGAGCTAAACAAATTAGGTTTTGTAAAGTCTCGAGTCAAACCCTGTGGTTGCGAAGGAACAAAACTAGCAGGAGTTACAATTGGAGCTTTGACCAGCGCCAGAGTTCGAGTTAGAGCCTTGCGGAAACATGTATCAGTTAGAGAAGAAGAGGACAATGAGGTGGAATTCATGCACATAATTTTGCTTCTCTTCGCTTGACGATTCGCTAAGACAGAAAAAGCGAGATAGATGACATGAGAGTTTGAATCATAAATTATTTGGTAAAAGAGCTTCCAATATGGAAATAAATAAGAATTGATTGTATGTTGGCCTTGACGCTCTTCCTGTTTTGAACTTCAAACTTTCATCTTTGAATATCCACGTACTAAGTCAACTGTTTTCACTGCCAGAATCATTAACAGTTTACCTGCATTTGTGTTATTCGCCAGATAAAGTGAGATAGATGACATGACACGAGAGTTTGAATCATAGTTTTTGTCTACTAATACAATTTGTGCTATTTGTAGCTGAGCTTGCATACGCATTAGTTTAATTTCACACATATGTTAATATTAGACATGTTGGCCTTCATTTTCTATGGGGGTTTCAAGTAGGTGTTTGTCTTTGACCAATCGGGTCATCTCATCTTCCTCATTATCTATAAGGGAAAAAGATACACATCAGATCACAAGGCAAATTTACACACTCTGTTCTGTTTCCATTATAACCAAAAAAAGGAAAAAGCGAAAAAAGTAGTTCTATCCTCAATTTTATGTATGGATAGAAAACAATAAGATCATAAGATACAAGGAAAGATACATGATTCGACTTTGATTGGTTATATCCATGGGGAAAGTGTCTAAACAATGAAAAGAAGGCTTTGATCTCATTCATTATGTGACTTGCTCGGAGTGAAATTATGCGTGCAATTTTATCAATAAGATGGAGTGTGTTTGCCAAAGCTTAATATGATTTGGGGGATCTTTCTTTACAGTTGTATAGTCTGTCCATACTTGGCTACCTTTTAGTAGGACTTCCCTAATTGGTTTGATCTCATTTTTATACTATGATAGAACTTTGAATTAGTTTGTATCAATAAATCGATGGAGTCATTTCATCTTAGGATTTTTAATTAGTTTTTTAATTTCTATTTGGATCTTTGGATGTAACCATATATCTTTATTGGGGCTGTAAATGAGACGAGACAAATTGTGAGCTACTCGAGAGTGATTCGGTCAACGATTGATTCAATCAAAGCCGAAACAAGTTACTTGACACTCAACTCGAAAAGCTCGCGAACAATTCGAAAAAATAATATATTGAAATTTTATTTTATTTTTAAATTAAATTACTAATAATATTTGTAGAAACTGTTGAAAACCAGGTATGTTTTCATAGTATATTTCATCACTCTATTTACAAAGTATAACCTCTTTAAATGTTAGATCCTAGAGTTTTACTCCTACTTAGGTGCGTAACAAACTATACAGTATTTAAATTTCAAATTAAAGATAATATCTAATCCTAACTAACTAGAAGTTATCTACAAATAACACACCAAATCTGCCCAGACTTATATACAACTCACAATATTAACATTTATGTGTTGTTTTTTTTTAAAATAATGTAGCATAAGGATTTCACACTTAAAGTTTGAGTTTGAACTTCAACCGAGTTAAGTTTAAGATTTTTTTTCTAGCATCAGTTCATGATTTCGAGTTCGAGTCGAGCTTCAAAATTTTAGGCTCGTGGGTTTTCTAGCCGAGTCGAGCTCTCTTTTAGAGTTTTCGAGTTGAGTCGAGCTCAGTAATACTCGAGCTCGACTCGGCTCATTTACGGCCCTAATTTTTACCTCTATAAATAGAGACTGTCAATAAATTAATGGGGTCATTTCATAAGCCTCTCACTTTTCTATACATGTATGCATATAATTTGGTCAGCAAGATGAAAGGGTGTTTGCCACAGCTTAATCTGCTCTACAGGTTATTTTTTTTTCAACTGCTTAAAGTTTGTACTATTGTAGTTACGGTTGCCTGCTCGTTAGTTTGATGTCACAAATGCTCTTATAATAGAAGATATATTAAAGGGGGGAAATGGATAAAAAGTTATATTACCTTGTTGTTGGTCCTTATATTCTATTGTGGTTTCAAGTAGATCATTATCTTCTGCCAACGGAGTCATCATATCTTCCTCATTGAAATGAAGCATAATATGGCTGATGTTTCCACTCTGTATAATTCCAATCATAGATGTCACAAGGAAAGAAGTTTTTATATCTTTAATACCATGTATGGATGGAAAAGAAAAGAAAGGAGAGAGTAAAATCACAAGAACACAAAAAAAAATACGAGATTTGACAATGATTGCTAACATCAAGGGAGTAAAGGTCCAAAGATTGAAATGAAGCATTTATCTCTGTACTACGTGACTTGCTTATATGTATATAATTTGGCTAATGAGATGGAAGTGTGTTTGCCTCAGCCTAATAAGCTCTGGGGGCTTTTTCTTTTCTTTGTTTGCAGTTTGTCTTATTGTATCTAGACTTGCCTACTCATTAGTTTATAGGATGATGAAAAGAAAATAAAGGAATCAACATACGTATTACCTCGTTGTTGGTCTTCATTTCTATGGTGGTTTCAAGTAGACCTCTATCTTCTGCCAATTGAGTCTTCATTCTTTCTCATTATCGGCTGGGGAAAACATAAGCGTCAGATAATCTGGCTGATTTCCACACTCGGTTTCATTTCAGTTCTAGTTGTTAAGAGAAATAAAAAAATTGTTCTTCTATCCTCAAATGTAGGTACAGATGGTGGAAGAAACAATGGCCAAAAATACAAAAGCATAAAACAATACATGATTCAATCAAGATGGCTTACATAAATGATGAAAAGCCCAAAGACTGAAAAAGGAAGGCTTTGATCTCATGTATTATTTGATATGCTTGGAGTGCATATATTTATTCAACTTGGTCTTAAAGACTGCTGTATTTTATAGCTGGAAGGGATCCTGCATTATAAAATACTGTGTATGAAGCATTAATTACAAATTGATGGTGAACCGATCATGCTCCCTTAAAAATTTTAAATGGCAAGAATGATGGTGAATCGCAGCCTCCAGCTGTATGCGGAAAGCAAGAAGTAGCCTTGCCACTGGAAGAGTTACCATTAGACTGGCAGAAGACGATAGTTCTTGCTGCACACATCCTTCGAAGTAAATTTGATTTTTCTCTTTCTAAATTTACTTTATCCTACTGTTTTTGGGCTAAACTATCGAAATATCCAATTTTTTCATAAATCTTTATTTTTTTTCATTTGATCACTTACTAATTTACATCGTTTTATCTAAAGTTCATGGGTCAAATTAAAAATTAACCTCTTTTACTAATGTTTCATGTCATCAAACTAACGGCATTCAACGTCTTAGTGACCAAAATATTATAAATCAATGATGTAAATAATAAAAATGTTACTTTTTTCCAAAATTTAGTAACCAAACATTTATAAAACATAAGTGACCATTATGATAATTCACCCTTTTTGATAAATTATAGTTACAAAGGATTACGAATAACGTGTTGTCAGACCTTTAAAAATAAAAGCAATCTTACGAGGTACCGTTAGTTTACAATTTTTAATAATTTTCTTCGGATAAATTACATCATAATCATCCAATTATTAATAATTACAAATAGATCATTCAATTTCAAAAAATCACAAACAAATCATTCATTAATAAAAAAATACATTTTCAGTTTTTGAGTTTCTTAAAAATCAAGGCTCAATCCTATGATTTGAATGGTGGAGAGACTTTCGTTAATGAGAGGAATAACATATATGAGACAAGATTCATTTGACAATGAATTGTGTAACTTTGGACTCAATAAGTTTGAAAATTTTGAGTGATATTATGACTTTTGAGAGAGATTTTTGAGAATTTAATATAATGAATTAAACGAAGAAAATGAAGTAAAACTTGACGTACATCAATCATCCTATAGGACAACCGATGATAATCGATAGTGACATACGACACATTGTTGATCAATCAATGACTTGATTGCAACTCTCTCAAATTAATATTTTTAATGAATAAAATATTTCATATAGAAAGTTCCTCTGATATTCAACGACCAAGTGGCACATCTACGACAATTGATAATTTTAAGGATCCATTCATTATCTTTATGACTCATTTGTTAGTAAGATGTAATTTAACATTTTTTTTATAATTCTCTCTTCTTTTTTTACATAACCTTAACATTTCAAATTCGAATTGTCCTTTCTTTTTCTTATGGTACTGAACTTTTTTGTTTGAATTTAGTTGGATTTGCTACCATAGGCCTTAGAGCTGTCCTGTCAATGTTGTCTTCCTTGGAACCAAAGCTACCTGGGAAGAAACCTGAAGATTTCACATCTGATGTAGATGCCCCAACATTTGGCCTTGAACTCTATGAAGAATCAGCCATGTCGGCCAAAAAGTTGATTGTTTTGGCTTCTTGTCCTTCAAACATATCACCAAATATGTGAAATTTTCTTTCTAAAAACACCTACATGAAAGAAACAAAAAAACAGAAAAAACTTTGACCTTATCCGACAACACTACACAAAGAAACCCAAACAAAAGCTAACAATTTTACAAATCAAAAAGAAAAAAAAAGGGTACCTTTAGCATCATCAGGGATTCCAACGCTGAAATCCCCAAGATCCATTTCTTCTATCAAGCACTGGCTTAGAAGATTGACAGTGCTCGCTCTTTCAGGAGATTCCTGTCCTGAATTAGACATTTTGCTCTCTTCTTTCTTCTTCTCTTGTCTGAAAATTACCCTCAAGCTTCTTATGGAATGTTTATAGATTAAAAAAAAAAGTTGAAAGGTGTTTCCTTTAATCATCACAGCAGTTGAAAGAGATGATAAAATAAGGAGCAAAGTACACAAATGATCCCAATTATAAGGTGTTACTTTTTAGAGTCTTCCGACTATTAAAAATTATAAAATGGTCATCCGATTATTCATGTGTGACAAACTCATTTTTTTCCATTAAAATTTAACAACCATTTGAGATTGATGTTATCCTACTGACTAATTAATGTGAATTTATTTAATTAGCACTAAGATAAACCTAAAACGTACCATAAAATCTAATTTAATTAGAAATTGATCCAAATTTTTGTAGGAAAATTTTAAGATTCTAATACAATATAGTTTTATTCTCAAAATATTATTTGTTGATTAAGTTTATTTAATGTGAGAAATCTCATTGAATAAATAAGATTTCTTGGTAATTATAGATTTTTGTTGATATGGTAATAGGTTATAAATAAAGAATAAGGTCTCACATTTAGTAGTTAGAGATTATTTGATGAGGATTCGTAACTTTCTACTTGCAAAAATTATACATTGTGATGTGAAAATTATTTATTGATTTGTCTGTACAAAAGACATAAATTATCCTGAGGATTTTGTAACTTTATTCGAATACGGAGTCATAAAATTTAAAATATAATATTAATTTTATAAAATTAATAAATAATATTTTTTAAGCGGTGTAAATTTCTTTTAGTATTATTTTACATAAAACTTATATATAATTTTTTAAAATAGACAGCTGCTATTTGACATCCTTTCATGTATATGACTTTGTCACTTTATCCATGCAAAGGTTATATAATTACTGGATTTTACTTATAAATAGACATAAACAAGACGAAATTAATATGGTTAAATATTTAAAATATATGTCAATGTAATGAAAGTTAAAAAGCTTTTTTTATATCTGTTTATAGTGAAAATTGAGGATTGAGTGTTGCGTGCATCATCTATTTTTTTTTAAATATTTTTAAAATTATTAAATAAAAATGTAACAAATATGTTAAGTTAATGTTTATTTTTTTCTTTTTCTTTTTATTAACCGTTACATTTTAAAATAATTTTTGCATTGGGAAAAAAAGTAAAATAATTGATAACATATTTGTTATTTTTCCTTCCGTTGGTTCAGTTTGACAAAAAAATTTAAAAAATTAAAAAATAAGGACAAAGGTAATTTATAATTAAAAAATAAGGAAAAAGGTTATTAATAAGAGAATTTAACTCTAATCAATTCTTTAGTAGAGGCCTATAAATTGATAGTTAACCATCAAAGGTAATTAATAAAGAAGAAGAGTACATGAGTGCGTGAGAGAATAATTTGAATTCATAAAAGTAAATTGTTTACTGATGAACAGTGATCGGCTCTTACAAAAGAAGATAAGATGAAAGAATGATGACTAAATAATATTTATTGCAAAGGTATGAACCGATCAATTTGTTTTTATTATTAGCAGAGCGGCAAACTAAACATGCGAGTCTTATTTATTATTGTTGCAAACTCGCCATTCTCAAAAAAGAAAAAAAAATATAATTTAAAAACCTCGAAAGAAAAGGCAAGAGGTAGTGGTAATGGTTAGTTTGGTCGAGTGCAATCCCGTCGAATTTCACCTTGATTCCCTGTCAGACCTACGCGGCCTAGCTTGGTCATGGCAGCCACGAAAGCCTGGTTGAAAGCCGCATTGCTGGATGCGAAAAGGTTGACGGTGTTTCTCGACCTCGGGTCCGAAAACAGTACTTGATCCGAGGTGAACAGACCCATGCCTTGCTGAAGATTCTTGTAGTAGACGTTGTCGAATGTTCGAGGCGTGTTCGGATCCATGTTGATGGCGATGCTGGGGTCGACATTTCTCGGGCACATTTGTCTAAGCTGCATGGCGTATTGGAAGTTGAGTGTTGGGTCCACAGGGCTTCTGGGGCTGAAGTTGTAGATCCTCTTGGAGAATTTGCCGCAATGGGCGAATCCTAAGGTGTGCACCCGACAATGCGATCATATCGGTCTGAGAGAGACCGTGCCTGGCAAACATGGTATTGAGCTGGTCTAGGTTGAAACTAGGATGAGGAAGCTGCCTTTGAACACTGGCTATTGTGGATATCCTGCCGTCACGTCTTCCCAATTCCACCGTATAAAACGGTCCTCCAGTCTGAATAATATATATTAATTAATTAATGGTTTCGATTTTCTTGATTTCACAAATATTAGTTTTGATAATAAACTAATAAATATGTGGAAAGAATTGTATGAAATGAGATACCAATTGTACGACTTCTCTAGTGGCAAGAGCTAAGATGTCTGCACAAGAAACTTTGTTGCTACACTGAGGATTACTATCAACAGCCGCCTTTGCTTTGATCACCGTGTCGAATCCATCTCCGGCTAGGGATATATCGTCCGGATGATCCTTCTCCGCTTTACCATTCGCCGATGCCAGCAATACCGAAGCATCACATCCCTATATATATAAAAAGTAACATTTCATTACAATAATAACATTTATTACATCTGCAATCGATCGATACCATTTTAAGTTATAAATTCACTTACACGAACAAAGCAATCATGAAAGAAAAGCCGAGAGTTGCGGGAGCAGTCACGAAGGTTTGCTGGAACTTCTGTTGGACCGCAGACCGGACAATCGACTCAACATTGGGACATGTTGTACTGTAGAAGTTTGGTGTTAGTTTAGGGGTCTGAGCAGAAATGGTAGTAAAGAGGAGAGGGAGAAGAAGAAGCAAAGAGACAACGATTTTGCTTCTGTTTGCCATGATGTTACAACTTTTTTTATGCTGCTTTGAATGAATGTTTTGTTTGTGTTTGTGGTATT